TCGTCCCTATACTTTTAAATATTTATCGTTCTCATCCCTCTACTAAGGATTTGTTCATTGTCATCCCTCTGCTTCCCAAACACTAATCAACGTCATCCCTCTACTTCCTTTTTCCATTAAATGTCATCCTTATTTGGACGCCGTTCCTTGGGCCGTTTATTTTGACCGTTTATGTCATTAGTCAACTGTTAACACAATTCTTCAAGTTTTTATTTTTTCTCACTTGTTCTAACTTAGTAGGGACCACGTCTACTTTCCTTTTCATCATCTTCCACTCCAGTTCCTCAAACGCACCCCCCATTTTTTTTTTTTCTTTTTTCGCAGAAACCTAATGCACAGCCCTAGATTAAATGAAATTAGCATTTTTCTACCCACTTTCTAGATTATTGGGATATATTTTTACTTTTAAAGAAAAAAATGTAATTAAAAATTTATTATTTAAAATAAATAATAAAAGAGTTTATTATTTTATAATTTAAACTGTATTAAATTTAAAAGTTTATATTTTGTAATTTAGTATAACATAAATTAAAAAACACTTTCAATAACAAAATACCAAATAATATCTTGACTTTAATAAGTTGCATTAAATAATAATAATATCATTAAGCAATTTATAAAGTGTGTACTACTTTCTTTATTATTTTTAAGATATCACTTTAAATATAGCATAAATTTATAAAATTAAAATATAGTAAATTACTATTTTTTAGTAAATGATATGATAAATAACTCAAATATAGTATTGAAGTCTCGATTAGTGTTTTAAAAATACTATCAAAATCTATTGTATTTTTCAAAAAGAAAACTTATTCAAAAAAGGTTGTTAAATAAAATAATCTTATACTTAAATACAAAGGAAAATTGAGTTTTATCAACAAAAGGTAGTTTGTGAGATAAAAGTCAAGGGGTAAAAAAAGAACTTTGATGGTGGAGGTGGAGAAATATGCTAAGCAAAGGATTACAGTGACTAAGAAAGGCATCAATTAAGAAAGATTGAGGAATATATGAGGCATTCAATTTTGACAAATTGTTAAAAAATAAAAAAAGACTCCACAATTTTTTGACAATTAGAGTGAGGAATAAAATCTACCTTATAAAAGGATGATAAAATCTAAAACTTATATCCAATTAGAATGGCCAGCCTTCTACCTCGTCACTCCCCTTGGTTTCCGTGTCTCGGGTCACACTACTTGAAATGGTGGGTAAGGAAAAAACGAGGTGAGATAACTCAATAAGTAAATATGGAGTGCCCCTTATTAAACTTATAGCATGCCAACAAGTGTAATCACGAAAAATGGATACAGTACGAGAACGAAATAAACGTCTCCTCTATAGGTCATGGCCAGTGTTATAAACCTCCCACTGGCAGGCTACACTATTTGCTGGTGTATAACCCCCACTAGCAGGGTCACTCGAATGAATCGGTTCTATTAATAACATGTCGACATGTGCTAGTGTTTATAAACCTCCCATTAACGGGCACACTAATAACATGACCACATCGGAGACAAAACAATGCAAGATTTACAAAAAAAATCCATAATTCATAATCAATTTCAAATTTCAAAGTAAACCAGAAAAATTCCACGTGGGCATGGATTTAATAGAAAAATCAGAATTTACAAAATTCTCAAATCATCAGAGTAGTTAAACAAATTCCAAGTAGGCATGCTCAATTTAATGAAAAGCATAAAAATTTCACTTCAAATCAGTTATGCTCATGTAAAACGGGTTTAGTACCACTACCATTTCAAAACCATCAAAAATTTGCTTTTTAAAAGCTTTACCTTAAATCCAAGGCATTACCATAAGTTACTTACCTCACTTCGCATAAAACAGGAAACTTGACCCCAGAGCTCTAAGCCACAACAACACCTAATATTCCAAATAAACATGTTCAGACCTCGCTAGAATATTAACACAACATCGCAATTTATGTTAATCTCTCATGATAGAACACCTCTAGTTTTATTCTCATATAAAACTAAGCATTTCATCCTCTTTGTTGTTGCCGGCAAAACCCCAAAAATGCAATATTCATTTATTTATTTATTCTTTTCTTCTTTCCGAATTTTAGCATTAATCCGGATTGGGTATACATATATATATACCAATTAAATACACACACATTTACATATATTTATAGCTTCACAAACTCACGGGCAAACAATGGGGAGCATGGCTTTTATTCAATTTTCCATCTTTGGCAAAACTGCCACTAACACACGGGATTTTCTACTCCAAATAATTAAAACTCAATGTATGAACAGTGCGCGTGAACAGTGCGCGTGAACAGTAACTGATATTTTCATAATTCAATTACAGCAAACTAAAATACCAGAAAAAAGGGTATTTCACCAGATTTTCAGAGCAGAACAGACTGAAAAAAGAAAGGAAAAACAATAGAAAAATGCAGAAAAACGCAGTAGCAATTTGCAGAATTTTCTGCATGAACAATAGCTGCGCGTGAACAGTAAAATTTTGGCAAAACAGCAGGATTTTCCACACAGAACAGCAGCTAATTTCAAGCCAAAAACAGGTTTATTTCTACATGAATTAAGTTAAAAAAACACATTTAAAAGGCTGCCAAATTCTTCCATATTTCGGCAGAAATTTCAACAATACAGGGGCAGCAATTACATGGATAATTTCAGCAATTAAATGGGTGAAATTGAACTTAAAGGAAGCTGTCCATCATACCAGGAAATTCCGGCAAGCTGAAACCGGAGCTGGCGGTGTGGAGGGCTGGCGGGAATTGGGAGAACACACACAAAATTGAAGGAAAAAAAAGGAAATTAGAGTAACCCAACTTGAATCAAGGCTAAAGAGAGGGATTCATGGCTGAATCTTACCAGAGAAATGCCTAAAAATTCGTACCTAGCAACATCGGCGGACAGGGGAGGAAGAGCAGAGCAAATCTGGAAATTCCTACTTCAAAGGGAGGGTTCTAGGTCCTAAAATCAATTCTTTAACAAGAAAAGGAAGGGAAAAATCAAGCTTGCTACCAATTTTCTCAAGAAATAGAAGTCGGTGGCTTGGGGGGAGCTTGTCGGGCTGCACGAAGAAGAAGAGCAGAGCAAAAACGTGTATGGCTGGGAAGAGAAGGAATAAAAATATCAGCTGATCCTTATCTTAATTTCTTTTTTTTTAATCCCTGAACTTTGAAACTTTTTGCTATTACATTCATTAATGATATTTCTTCACAATTAGGTCCCTAACTCACACTTTAATGCTCTAAAAATTTTGGAGTATTACATCTATGATCGTCAAGGACAATAGAGGTAAGTATATAATGAAATTTATAATTTTTTTATTTTTTATTAAAATAAAAAATCTCAAAAATTATGCATCTTGATTTTTTTAAAAACCATTTTTGTATTAGGAGAAGTTTCTTGACTAACTTTTTTCAATTTTTAAGAATTATGAATTTGATTAAATAAAAATTAAAAATAACTAAGGAAGATGAAAAAAAATAATAGAAGTATGAGACAAAAATATGTGATTATTAGATTAACAATTAATAAAATTCATATTAAAAATGGAAAAAAAA